ACCTTGTACACCTCCATGCGCCTTTCCGCCTCAACCCCAGCTATGATGGCGCGCGCCAGCTGGCGGGACTTGTCATCCGGTAGAGCCGCCAGGTCGTCGGGGTCCTTTGGCGGGGTGGTCAGCACCGTACGCGCACGCGTTTGCATAGCCGTGTGACCGCGTGAGCAACTTCATGCAAATTCACTGTTGTGATTGCAGCAGCAGCAGCAGCAGCAGCAGCAGCAGCAGCAGCAGCAGCAGCAGCAGCAGCAGAAGCAGCAGCAGCTGCCGCTCTGTGGCGGGACGGGCCCACCCCCACCCCCTCACCTTGTATAGCCTGGAGATCGCTTCAAACGGCACGTGCAAGTCCTGCTCCGCGGCGTAGCGCTCAAAGTCAGCCACACCCTTGCGCAGCATCCACGAGCGCACCTGACCAGCCACACGTTGGTGTGCACACGCACGCAGCTTTGATGCGTGCGGCCGCCAGGGAGGGGGCGAACGAAGGCTCCACCGGAACGAAGGGATGCAAGTGCTGCGGGCAGGCAAGGGACTGCTCGCAGGTGCTCAGGGCTGGGTCCAAGTGCCTACTAGTAGAGACACAACACAGCACCAGCAGCCCGGCTGCGTCGCCAGTCGCCCCGCGCACCGTGCCGTCCCACTCATGCTGCATCAGCTGCTCGCGCAGCCTGCGAGGCGGCCACGGCGAGCATTGGAAGGCGAGCATGCGATGCTAAGTCGTACCGCGGCCCGAGTGGTACCGGAGAGCGCTCGCGCACTCAAATGGGGATCGGGAACGTGCGGGGGGGTGGACGGAGGCCGCGGGGATGCGTCGGCGCGGGCGGGGCGTGGAGCCCAGCTGGGACCATGCAGCTTTGCGCACCGATAGCGAAACGTCGCCAACACTGTCGGGCGTGCAGATGAGAACGCTCTCCCCCCTTGCTCCCATCATGGGGATGATCCCCTCGGACACAAACCAAATAAACACCGCATGCTCGGCACTCACTGGGCCTGGCTCTCCAGGTAGCCAGAGCTCAGAAATTTCGAAATCTTGGGGTGAAGGGTCCTCAGGGTGCCCTCCGGTCCGCCCTCCACACCGTCGCCGCCGCCATCCCCTGACTCGCTGCGCCGCTGTGTTCCCCCGCCAGGCCGCCCCTTCTCGCCGCGGTCACCCTCGCCCCGCTCACGCTGCCAAGCATCGTCGCGGGGCTGGCGAGCGTGCGCAGCGCCGCCGGCGGTCGTGTCTGCCGCCGCGATGTGGCGCTCCAGAACCTCAATTCGGCGCAGAGCGTCCTGCAGACATGCCTGCAGCTGCTGGCCCTCGCGACGATGTGCGCCAGGTCCGTCGCGGGTGGCGGGGCGGGAATCCGAGGTTGACGGTGATCGGGTGTCCGCGTCACCGCTGCCGTCCACCTCAAGGCCGCCACCACCACCGCCGCTGCCCTTGTCGGCTGCCGTTCTGGCAGCGCTGGATAGCCGAAGCGGGGCAGACAAGTGGTGTCGAGCAGCCCGTGCAGTCCAGGTGAAAGATGACGAGGCGACCAGAGTGCGCAGCAACATCATGCGTCAAAAGCCGGCAAGTGTTATGGTGCGCGTCGTTGTGTTCAGCAGTGCTTGGCTGGTCACAGCTGCTGGTCGGCAAGTGTTGCTGACACGGCTGAGGCAACTGGGAGTCGACTCCCATTCCGGCCATCTACCACACGGCACACCTCACGTCATGAAACGTTTAAGTTTGAATGTTTGTTATTCCCCACGATTATATCTCCGCAGCCAGGAGGCGGGGCAATAGTTTTCCGACACATCCGCACTTCGCAATCCTCCCTGGCAGCCTGCCGCGGGTCGGTAGTAGGTCAATACATGGTTAGATTGAAGATTTATAAACAAACGGGTGGTCGGTGGAACCGAGAGGCATCTGGCCCAAAAACCAAAGGCCTCGACACTGTGGCGCGCTCGTCGACAGAGGCCGGACAACAGCGGCAGCCTGCATATGAAGAAGGCAGCAATCCAACAACATCATGGGCGTTGCTACGCTGTGCCCCGCTCTGGCAAGCGCCAGCACGGCGGATGGACTCAGTGTGAACAGCAGCCGCAGCACATGGGGATGCCCAGCTGCTGTCGCTGCAACCAGCGCAGTGGGCGCTGTCGGCACGCTGCCCTTCTCTTTTGAGGTATGCTATGCGGCCTGATCTATGTGGTAGGCCCGTCGTAACTCGGGCCGGGGTTGCGGGGGATCTTCCCCGCGGCGCGTCCGGCCTCGGCGCCTGGCCCGCCTGCTATCGTATCTCGCAGCTGTCAGCAGCCGCTCAGGCCACCCCAGCCTCTGAATTGCCCCCCCCCCTCCACGCGCATCATACCTGTGCCCCAGGACATGGTGCATGCCACGATGACAGGCGCGGCGGCGCAGGCAGAGTATGACGCAAGTGCGGAGGTCGAAGCGCTGGGTGCCGCGTGCAAGCCCGCCAGCGGCGCCCAGGCGCAGGTCAGCGCGCATGCGGCGGCTTGGGCCGCGAGGTTGAGCGCGGTTTCCTGTCACCGTGGGCCAGGGGCCTGTCATGCAGCCAGGCGCTCTCCAAGCCGCTCCAGCTGATTATGCGCTCACGGCGGCGTAGCTTGCTTTTGCTAGGGCACAGCACATCTAAGCGCCAGCCAGCCGCCACCCTCAGTTGCCTGCCATATGTGCGCACCACGCACCCCAGAGGCGTGCCTTGAACCCTCCTCTTCCCTCGATGCCCCGGCCGCAGCTGACAGGGGCCGTCGCTACGTGCCGGACGGCGGCCCGCGGCTCTGACGCGGCGGCGCTGTGGGTGCTGGGCTGCGAGCTGCGCGCGCGCCACGGCTACATCGTGCGACACCGCACCACCCTGGGCCCCAAGCAGCCCCACGCCTACCTGCACCTGCTGCGCCACTCCTTCCTCCTCGTGCGCTGCGGCGCCGGCGCGAGCAGCCAAGGTGCGCGGCCCCTTACGACCCATGCAGCCCTATCCCGCGCCAAGCACGACCCGGGTAATTCCCCTTGGGCCCTGCAACCTGAAGCCCCTCCCTAACCCCCCAGTTTATTTGACCTCAGGCCCGACCCCATAACCTCAACCCCTCCTGGGACCCCAACCTACCAGGCCCCCAGGCCCCCTGTGACCTGGTGGTGGACCTCAACTTTCGGGACGCCTTCACGCAGGCCAAGTCGCGGCCCTGGTATGACTCACTGCTGGACGCCCTGCCGCAGGTGGGTGCTCGCAGGAACGTGCTTTGGGCACGCATGATGGCGACAGGGGGCGGGGCGTGCGTGTGGGGGCAAGGGGTCGCGCTTTGGGATCCTTGTGGCGTGGCGGCGACTTCAAGCGGGGCTGCGCAGTGAGCCGCGCCGTGAAGAACGGGGCCCCATAGATGTGCCACCGCGACGCAGCAGCACGCGCCGGCTGACCGCGTGCTGCAGGCGCCTCTCAACCGGCAAGCTGGAGTGAAGCGCTGCTGCCTGCCGGTTGCCGACCGCCGCTGTGCGCCGCACACCCGCCTTGCATCCCGCAGGACTTTGTGGGCCCGCTGGAGTCGCTGCTGCTGGCCGCCCACATCATGGCGGCCGCCACGCGCCTGCTGTTCCACCAGCTGGGGGCGCCGCTGCCGCCCTGGCGGGAGCCGCGCGCGGTGCTGTCGCGCTGGGTGCCGCCGGCGGCGGACGGCTTTGAGGACGCCCTCGTCCCGCTGCTGCCCGCCACAGAGCAGGTGGGGCTGCGAGGGCGTGCCCGCAGACCGCTCCCTGTGAACTAGACACAACGTTCTGAATGCACCTTGGGGTGCAGCTGGGGTTCACGCTGCTGCATGAGCATGTGAGCAGGGCATCTACCTGCCCCTCCTTGCTGATTACGTTCCTACTCTCAGACTGGAATCCTGCTCGCCCCGCTGCTTTTCAGGGCCTCGACTATGCAACAATGCTCGCGCCCTACCACTCCTCCTTCCAGCGCACCGCCGCCGCCGCTGCCGCAAAGCCCGCACGGCCAGCAGACGTCCCGGGTCGCGCGGCCTCCGCTTTGGCCCCGCCCGCCCAGGCCACAGCGACGGCGGCGGCAGCGGCGGCGGCGTTCGCACTGCGGTGCGGGCGTGCGCGTTGCACGCGCGTGGACGATGATGCGGTGCCGCACGTTGTGATTTTTGGGTTTCCAGACGACCACCACGACGGGCACCGCCTGCGGCGCAGCAGCGCACCCGCCTGCGCCATCCGCCGCGCCGCCTGCTGCCCCAGCGACTGCGGGGGCTGCTGCTGCAGCAGCACCACCAGCAGCGACTGCGGCAGCAGCGACAAGACCCCCAGCAGCAACTGCAGCAGCGACAATGGCGGCGCGCAGCCTTGCAGCCGTGGCAATTCGCCCCTTGGACGTGCGGGTGTCGCGCCTCAAACAGCGGCGGTGGCAGCAATGCTGGGTGTCCGCACCCCGTCCCAGTCGCTCCCAGGGACGGCTGCTGAGGGGCGGCTGGCATGGCGCCGCGCCCCACGCGGCGCGCATTCGCCCCAACTGGCAGAGAGCGACGAGAACTGTGGCCAGCTCGGCGCCCACCAGTGGAGCGGTGCACAGAAGGCAGTGCCGCCATTTCAGGAGCACGAGCAGCCACAGCGGCTGCAGACACTGCACCAGCAGCAGCAGCAGCAGCAGCAGCAGCAGCAGCAGCAGCAGCAGCAGCAGCAGGAGCAGCAGGCCCTGCTTTCGGCTCAGCAGCAGCAGCAGCAGCAGCAGAAGCAGCAGCAGCAGCAGGCAAGCATGGTTTTGGGTGGCGGCAAAGCCAGGCGCTTCAAGAGTCTGGACGAGCTGCTCCCCCGGGTGCGCACTGTTCGTCTGACAGGCGCGCTGGGGGCGAGGTGAAGGGCCCCTTGCAGGCCCTCGCACAAAGGCCCTTGCATGGCCGAGAGGCAGCGTGTCGATGCTGAAGCAAACAGCCGGGCAGGGCGCCGCCAGATTGCGGCATCCAGACCATCCAGAAGTGGCCATAGCTAGGCAGGCGTCGAGCCCGCCGGTGGGTGGCGTTGCAGCCGTGCGACCAATGAGACGGGCTTTAGCGGTACCAACAGCCCATCTGCCCCTGATCGCGCTCAGTTGGCAAACTTGTGTTGTGCGTCCTGAGCATTGTTGCGTTTGTCCACACTGGCAAAAGAGTTTCAGAGCCCACGTGCGGGTGGGCGCAGGCGTCCACCCGCGCATCCTCATGCTGTTGACTTTCAATGCTTCCTTCTAGGCACTAGCTAGGCACGCAATGCTAGGCCGGCGTACCGCACAAGGACTCTGTCCTGCCTTGACAGGCACCCTTCATCGACGCGTGGCCAAGCCCATTGCGGTTGCTCCCGCGCCCCGTCTCATCCTCTCCAGCTTGTAGCCACGCCACCCCTCACGCACTGATGTACTTTCTGGCTTGGCAAGCGGGTTGCATCCCGATTGCCTGAAGCCTGGGACGCCGCCAAAGCTTTGCGCAAACGACATGCGCAGCATGGCGGCGTTGTTCGGGCGATTTTGATGTCAACAGCGTTTGTGGCACGTCAATGTCATCCTCCGCTTGCATGGTGTTTGTCATGATGTCGCCACTGGACCCTTCTGCAATGGGCTCGCCCTCCTGATTAATAATTGATGCTGCGCACACTGCTCGCAGCATGCAGCTGGGCAAGGCTGGAAACACCTGTGGCTGGGGCAAGGCGGTAGGCAGAGACAGTCCTCATGTACTTGCGCAGGGCGCTTTTTTGTGCGCAAACGCTCCCACTGTCGAGCCGCTCCACGCAGTATGTTGAGGGTGTAGTTCAGCTGGATGCCTGGTACATTGAGTGCTGGATGTAATTCAGCCGGTGATTTGTGCTCCTGACGATACTCTTCAGAGCTTGGGATTTAAGCATCTGATTGGGGCACACAGTATGATGCTGTTCGTAGGGTGACATGCTCTCGTTGCGCCATGGGGTTGGGGGCAGGGTGGCTGGGATAAGTCTGTCTGGGGCAGTATGACCTATACAGGTTCCAGGCAGGGATGGTTAGGTGGCACCAGCCTGCATGCAGGCACAACTGTGAGGCTGATCGACAGAAGGTTCTTGTGAGCCCAGAGACTCGGGTGTGACTATTGCATCATGCCAGATGCGAAGAGCTTGGCGGCCGCATGTTGGGTATGCATCAGGCGGCGCATGGCGGTCTGAGGACACGCTTACGGGGTGCCGTGTTGGTGACGCTGTGGCGAGGTGAGGCTCCACACGGTCAGCAGATTTGGCGGGCTGTGCGCCGTTTGGGATAGCTTGGCGCTAGGAATGGGACGGGGCTCACATGAATTGCCTGGTTTTGGCAGAATGGAATCATTGTGGTGTTGCACGAGGAAGGGCGCGCGCTGAAAGACTGGGGCCCTGATAAGGCCCGTCAGGAGCTCTAGGGACCCCCGTGATGAGTGCTGGCAAGCTGCCGGTTCTGCTGATCGGGATGGCTACGGGGTCTGCGTTGGCAGCGCTACGCCAGGTTGCAGGAAAGCTGCAGGACCTTGTCAGCTTGGGTGGCATGGGCAACTGTGTGTTTTCTGGAACCGGCTGTGGTTTCCTGCAGGATCCCGCAGCTTGGTGTTGCGTGCTGGGTCGGCAGCGGAGCACCCTACAATAGTGCATGTGCGCGGAGGCCTGAGATAGGGACTACGTGGGGCTGCATTGGCGCCGCAAGGCTGCTTCGCGAGGCTGCTATGCGTTCATTGTGCATGTAGCACCCAGCTACGAGCCTAGGGCAAACGGTTGAGCTGACCGACGCCTGTCACGAATGGCGGAAGCCTGGCGGGTGGCAGGGGGAAGCGTGCTCTCACGCTCAAAGTGCCTGCCCCCAACGCCGCAGTGCATCACCACAACCAGAATGAGGCTTCTCACTGCGATTTTGTATTACGGGTATGTGTGTGCACCAGGTGCGTTCGTACGAATGCGTCCGTTGGGGAAATTGTCAACGTACTACCGATAGCAGCATGTCAAAATGCATGGACGCCTGGCATCCTGGTTGAGGTTGTGTGTATGAAATCATGGTGCAGAACAGAAGCTGACCTGGGTGAGCCATTCATGCAAGCTCGGTCATTCCAAAGTCGAGCAACTGTGCACAACCGTCGGGACACATGAGCGCGGAAGTGCTGTGCTCACTGCGCTGTGTGCTCGCCCGCACAGGCCTGTAGTCTCGGTCGATCAACCTTATTTGGAATTCAAACGTGTTCAGCATTACTCATTCCGACAGAGAGGACTGCGCGGGAGAAGCAGTGAGCATCACTCCACTTGCAGGACGCTGGCCAAACTGCCCTGGCGCGCACACACACGACAATCCAATTCCACCGTATATGGCTGGGACGATCATCCAGGTCATAACCCGCAGCATCAGAAGGACGCCCTTTTGCACACTGGCACATCCCAATCGCCGTTCGTTGTGAGGCCGCGGGCCCTAGTGACATGGCCTGCTGATCGGTTCTTGAACAAAAATGGTGGCAATCAGCAGCGGCTTTGGGTCAGGTGACCCCGTGGCAACTCGGACATCGCGAGCAGCGACGCACCCAGACCGACCGGCGCGCCGCCTCGCGCTCCTGCTCCTCGTGACCACCGCGGCGATCGCGCTGTTCCCTACGACCGCCTCGGCTTTCTCTTCACGCGGGCCTCTCTCTTCTGACCAGCGGGCGGCGGTCGAGCGCATCTCTGCGCTCAAGCTCGCCCTCAGCGAGCGGCTAGCAGCCCAGGGCTACAAGTTTGAGCCGTCGCCCCGCCAGTGGGCGCGCCTCACCCAGAAGCTGCTCACCCCGGGGTCTGTCGTCAAGGTTGTGGCTTTCGGCGGCAGCGTGACAGTCGGCTACCGTTATAGCAAGACGTCCTACCCGGAGCAGTTTGTTGAGTGGCTGCGGACGTCGTTCCCGGGGGTCGATTTCGAGCTCACCAACATGGCGCGGCGCGCAACGGCGGCGACGTTCGCAGCGCTGTGTCTGGTGCAGGTGGGCGAGCGGGCTGCAGCAGACTGGCGAGTTTCTTCCATCGCATGGGCAGCACGGGTGCATTATGGACAGCATGTAGCGGCGCCGTTGTTGAGGTGTCGCCGCGCATATTGCACCTGCGGGTAGGCAGTTGGGAGGGTTGCAACGGCCGTGACAGGGTCACAAAACGCTAGTTTGTGTGTGTTTTGACGCGCCACATGGCAGACTATGTATGTGGCAGCAACTGAGGCACTTCAGAGAGTTTGTGAAATGGTGTGCATTGAGCAGCGAGCAGTCCGTGGGGCAAGGACCGTTCCAACTCCTCCAGTCCAACATGCTGGCATGGCCCTTGCTATGTGGGGATGGAAGCAGTAGCTACGTCGATTGGGCTGCGGGCACCCATGTTGCGGCCGAGGGGCGCCCGTGTCGTCGTTCAATTGGCTGCGCTTCGAAGCGCCCCTGCCTTCCCCACACACACAATGTTCACCATGCAGATGCAACACACCGCACTTTGCACACCCACAGACCCTTTGATGCACACACGCGCACGTGCATGCCTGTGCACACACGCACACACACACACACACGCACACACACACACGCACACACACACACACACACGCACGCACGCACGCACGCACGCGCGCGCACACACACACACACACACAGGACATGCCGGAGGACGCTGATCTTGTTGTGGTGGAGTACTCCATTAACGGGTACGGCGGCCAGTGCCAGTGCTTCACCGCACCTCAGAACGCGGGGTACGAGACGCTCATACGGCGGGTGAGAGGGTATGGGGGCGTGGGGCAAGCGCTGGGCTGGGTCACGAGCGCAGTTGACCCTGGGCGTGGCGCCGGCACAGCTTGCGGCACAGAGGAGAGGAGGGCGGATGACCCTGCTCCTAGGCAGCGGCAGCGAGGGCCTGGCTCGCTGGCGTAGCTGGTATAGTTCGTTTCAACGAGGGCAGACCGTTGACCCATCGCAAGGAAGGCAGCATGCCTTTCAGCTGGGACTTGCATGCGGCGTAAGTGCCAGCTCGGCATCGGTGCTGTATCAAAGGAATAACTGCAGGTGGCCGGCTGGCCTGCTGTGACGCCCGGCGTTGCACCACGCCGCACCACGCCGCGCCGCTGGCTGCAGATTCTCAAGCGCTCCCCCCAGGCCGCGATGATGACATTTGCCGCCTTCATGTGGCTCGACAAGAAGGGAGAGAGGGAGGTGGGTGGTCATGGGCAGCGGCTTCTCGGAGGGCGCAGGCCACGCGTTTGGCCGCCGCGAGCTCGCTGGCAGCGGGTCACAACTTTTACCTGTGCCGCAGCGCCCACCAGGCCCATGCGAGCTAGACCAACCCCCTAAATAGCACAATTTGTGCGGTACTGGGGCCTAGCCAACATCCTGTTGGCGGCCATGCTTGCAATGGCACTCCCGCCGCGCAGGTGTATTACAACACGGGCGAGGACCAGCACGCCGTCATAGCCCGGCGATACGGCATCCCGGTGATGCCCAGGGCCTGTCGCGCGCAATCAATGGGCGCAAACGGCTTGGCGCCCGCCCGGCGAAGGCCGCTAGGCTCCCTAGCACTAACACTGCTGCCTTGGTTTTCCGGCTGCCCTTTGCCAATTGGATGCTTGCTCGTGGCACTGCGGACACAGGAGCTCTTGGTGTGTTTCTAACAGCTCTCAGCCAACAGTCTGCACACCCAGGAGAGGGCCTTCGTTCGCCTCTTGATCCACCCCTCCCCCCACAACCAATTCTCCCCGTCAGATGATGAGCGTACGTGACTCGCTTTATGATGTCATGTTTGACCCAGGGAACCACTATCGCATCAACCGCTCCGAGATTCTGGTCGACATCGTGCATGGTAGGACAGGGGGACTGCCATTGCAAGATTTTGTAGTGTCGCGCATGCGAGGCTCGGGCCTCCGCAGTCCATCTGGCTCTGGGGTCTGCCGAGCAGGGCTGCGGGCACAGCGTATCACATGGTTTACGGGACAGCGGCTTTCGGCAGCTGCTCACAGATCAGTCCGTCCCGCCAAAACGTGACACAGCCCCTCAATCCCATCCCCACCCTCCACCCAACCCCCGCACCCACCAGTGAGCGACCACGGCGCCAAGCTGTACGCCTCGTACCTGGCCTGGGGCCTCCGCCGGCAGGCCCTCCGCATGATAAAGCACCACGGCTCGCGCCTCGAGGCCGCCGCCGCCGCGCCGCCCGCGCCCATGGTGGCGCCCCTGAACAGGGACGCGGCCATGGAGGACTGGCCCACGTTCTGCGCGGAGGGGGAGGGGCTGCAGAAGGTGGTGGCGCCCAGCGGGGAGGGCGCGTGGCAGTGGGTGGACGAGGGCAGCAGCGCGTGCCCGGGGTGCCACAAATACGGCTTTGCGTCAAAGGAGGTGGGCCGCGCGGCGAGGGTGGTCGTGGAGGGCAGGGAGGCCGCATGCGCCAGACGCATCATCAGGCGGTGCGCGTGGAGCACAGCAGGTGGGTTGCCTGTGCTGTGGTGTCCACAGCAACAACAGCAGCAACCGCATCACCATGCATGCACCTGCATAGCCTGTTAAACCTAATACCACCGCCTGCAAACCAGGTGGGGGCGTACCTGGACATCGATGTGAATAGCGACGTCCTCAGCACACAGGACAAGGAGGCAGACGCCACGGTGGGTCACAACTGGGGTCGGGTGCGGATTGTTAGTTAGTTTCCGGCCGGACTCACGAGCGAGGAGCAGGGGAACAACACTGCAGGCTTAGCCAGGCGAGCTGCGGCGGGATTGGTGGTGCCAGAACAGGGGCTGCAGCTTCCATTTGGTCCATGTGCTTGGAAATTGACCTTGCGAGCATTCGTCATTGCACTGAGGACCCCCAGTTTGTTGTGTCAGGTGATGCTGGCGCTGTCGTTCCTCAAGTCATACTCTGACATGGGCAAGGTGGGCCGCAGGGGGGGGACATCAGCTTGCAGGGGCTGTGCGCGAGCCCCCGACGGGGCAGCAGCGGCGTGACGGCTTGCGAGCGTCGACAATCAGGGCAGAGGCACGCATTCTTGTGCTTGCCGCCAACATCAGCGCTCCCGCCACCCTGCCCCTGCCGCCTCCCCCGCCCCTGCTCCGGCGCCCCAGGTGCGTGTTTCCTGCAAGTCTGGCTGCACCTGCAAGGAGGTGGTGATGGACGCGAAGAACAAGACCCCCACCAGCGAGCTGCACACGGAGCGCATGCCCATCAGCCCGCACCCACAGTGAGGCGCGCCGCATCGCTGCACTGAAACGCACTGCACTGCTCCTCACCGGCCCTTGCGAGTTCGTCATGCGGCAGTGTTGTGGGCCGTGCATGATCTGGTGCGGGCCCCAACGCCAGGGGTTGCCAGCCGTGGATGCGCTGCACTGCTTCGCCCACGCATCCAGACAATTCAGTGACATGATGCCACCCCCAATCACTCTGCCCTGCATTTGCAATTCCCTCACCCCATCACCTCCAACC